CCCCCCCCCCCCCCCCGGCAAAAAAGTCAGAGTTTCCAATCTCTCGCCATATTGTTGAATTCAAAAATAACATATAAGAACCAGAGGATCATAAGTGAACTTAACCTCAAAAATTTAGATTGGCGAATAAAAGAGATGAAAGAACATGATGTAGATGAGGACTCCAGAAGCAACTCAGAAAAGATAAAAACGGTTGTATATTATAAACCAAAAATGACTCTGGCTGTAATCATGCCCATAAATATTAAGTAAAATAAAACTATCAACTGGTAGAACTGACGGTTAGCCATAAAAAATGCACTACAAATGGCCAAAGTTTCAAATGTGATCCTTATGATGAGAGCTTGAAACGAAGAAAAAAAAAGACCTTCAAATTTTCGAAACCTGGCGTGCAAATGCATATGGTGTTTGGAGTATTCTGTGAAACTTAGCAGAGGTGAACCCAGAAACCTACAGTAACCAAAAAAACATACCCACATCAGCGAAACCAAAACTGACATCAGCGTTTTAACATAGCGAAAGATGCATAGTCTACTTCATCCACAAAAAACGAACTTTGTAAGAATCGTTCAATGTCGTTTTCGACATGAGAAATTGATAACTTCCACTGGAGAGGACGGGACTCCAGAGAAAGGTAGCGATAGAAATATTATGGAAAAGACTTTCAATATAGGAGGTCAAATATGAACTACGTATACGACGAAAGGCCTTAAGTCTTACATTGCTATACATCCCGCATAAAATTGAATAAGAAAACAAGACACCTTGAAAAATAATATTAAAAGAGAGAGAGAGAGAGAGAAGCAAGGTTTACTTACTCGTCAACTGTAGAATGAATACTATAGAAAGCTCTCGATGCTAAGTTCGACAAAGGAACATGGATCAGGAATGTCAAAGTTATTCAAAACCTGAGGTCAAACAAGGGAAATATCATTAGTAGCACCATACAAATACCAACTATATTTCATTTTCGAGACCACATATCATTTTCTTCTTTCAATGTCCAGAAACAAGAATTCATCTCGAAATACAGTAGAAGATACAGATAAATCAGAAGATGAAGCTTGTACGCCCCCGACAGAACTAGAGCTGGAACAAGCTGGGGCCGTGAATAATAATGTTGAAAGCAAGAATTGAGTTAAGACAATGATGGCTTATCGAACTTCATGTTACTACTGCTTTTTCTAGCTTAAGCTATTGCCAAACCTAACTTGATAATTAAACTACGTAAACACTAAATTCTGAATTGTACAAGTTAAATAAAATATTGTAACAAAATGAATAAAGTTTTATTTGATAACTATTTGGGTTTTGAAAATTAAACTTATAAACACTTCTTCCACTTACGAATTTTTTGTTTAATTATCTACTTTTTTATATATATTTTTAAAAACCAAGCCAAGTTTTGAAAGCTAAAAAAGAAATCTTAAAAACTTGTTTTTGTTTTTGGAATTTGACTAAGAACTCAAATATATTCTTAAGAAAGATGAAAAGCAACATAGAGAAATGGTGAGAAAAGAAACACGACTTTCAATAATCATGGTTATTAAATGGGCTCTCATAAAACCGACATCCAGGAACATGGGAGAAACTTGGCATCACTCATTGTTCATCAATAGAGTAATAAACTTTGCTACCAAAAACAAATCTCAATTAAAAAAAAAAATGGCAAACATACAACGACAATAATTGATGAACTTATTACCAAAGTTTATATACATACATCTTATGACTTACATTTGGAACCTTGATTAGTCATCACATGAGTATTGCAAACATGAACAACACCTCATATAAAGCAAATTGAGTAAGAATCTTGCAATGGTATCAACTTTTGAAACTCAAAGAAGCTCACAATCTCACAATCAATGCAAGAAAGAGAGGGAGGGGGGAACAAAGAGTGACACTATATAACACACACAAGATATATATATTATGTTGGTGAAGATTCAAGCATAAGTTTGAAGAGGTGTTACTACCTCGGGATGAACAATGCCGAAAGTGCCAATTTTCTTTCCATTATAAATGATGTGAGCTTGTCTACCAGTAAGAAACTCTGGATTCTGCAGGACATATAAACAAAACATGGGAATATGCCAAGAAACAGAGTCAATTCTAAGTTCCTAATTTGTAACCTTCCATGAAATAAAGCGCACGGAATAACCCACTTACATCTGAACATTTTATGTAATACCCAGTTTCAACGCCAACTGAAACAAAAGGAGCCCCTATGACTTCCATAATTCTGTCGACCAAACCATGGATCAACTGAAATATCAAGAAAAAAAAATGATCAAAAATACAAACGGCACCGTGAATTAACACTCGAAAAAGATGGCCACAGAAAAAAATAAGATCTATAAGAACATTAGTATCTTTAGAAAGCAAAGTACTATGTATCAAATGAAAATTGAGGATAACACTATATAAAAATAAGGGATTTCTTTGGTATATTTTCTAAAAGTTTTCTTCAGAAATTGTAATGCATCAAAACTTCGCTATTTTTTTTACTTAGTGAACTATTCTTGTAAAGTCCTATTTGTTTTCTAACATATTCACCAACGTTTTTGCACTGTCATAAAATAACACGTCTAAATGTTAGATAATGACAGAAAATAAATAGTAAATTAGGTACAATCAACGATAAAGGGCAGATCTAGACTTCCTTTAGATTCTTACCTCAAACCCAGAATTGGCACTGCAATATAGAGCAGCAAGATGACGATGATTTCTTGCGCCAACATCTTTTGCATTATCCAGTAATGATACATCACCTACTTCAAATATCTAGAATAAAAAAGTTGACAGATAATTTAACTTTCTAAGCTTTTTTGATGTTGACTTTAAAACAAACAGGCCTTCAAGAAAATATATTGAGACGATAGCTTAATAAACAGATAACATCCTTGTTTTTCAAACCACCCATGAGCGCCCCAACAGTTCACCTGCCCCTAAAATGATCTCATGAAACAAATAATTGTAAAAATGGACTACACTAGAAATCTTCATGAGACCTTAAAGAATGCCAATCCAACTGGGGAAACTCCTAAACCCTCTCTTTATTCAGAAAATAAATTCAATAAGCATAAAAGTACAAACGAGTACAAGAAGCACAAAATGAAAGAAAAGATAAACCTCCTCTTCCTAAGAATCTATTTACAATTTCTACCATTTACCAGTATACTTACAAAAATCAATAACCATTACATAAAGCATAATGGAACAATGAAGACTCAGACCCATTTTATCAAGTAATTCAAATTGTAACGCCAAGACCTACTAAAACAACCGTACAAACTACTTATCTTTTCTTCTCCGAGAGGTGACCTTCTCGACTGGAAAATACCATATGTAAATTTTTCCTACTCGTTCAGGTCCTAATTGTCGTTTAGAGGTTAAACCAACATAACAGTCACACCTCACCATAACTAACAATTGAACTCTACAATTCTTGCCCAAGAACAATGGAGTCTGAGCACGTTTCATAGCACTTGACCTACTATTGCGTCCACAGCATGACACTAAGCCACAGACAACATCAAAGATGTAATAAACATCACATAAGCTTATTACACACTTAAAACCTAGAACAGTTGCCACTTGTAACTTCAAAATATGCATACACTTACTACCAGCGCACATCCATACAACGTGCATGTGTATATTAATGCCACATGTCTACCAATATTTTTATCACAAGTGACAACAGTTTCAGAGATTTGGACCTCCATGTGGTAACTAAATGACGTCATTGAAAATTTATGCATGTACCTTTATGGGCTTTGGATGATCTTTATTATGTCCAACAGTTTTCAAAAGACCAGGCATAAGACTGGTTCGTACAACCTGGCAATGTTGAGAAAGTACAAAATGTTATTACCAAGGCAGAGCATCATTCCAAATGTTTAGTGAAAGCATACATAATCAAGTGATTTCTAGCATGTGGCATATTTAGATAGGTTTACCTAAGTTGATAAAAAATACCAGATAGGGTTTACAAACCTCAAAATCAGTTGAACGGGGATTTCCAATGATAACAGCAGTAGATTTATCATCTTCACGCTTTAACATGGAAAAGTTTTCTTTATAAGAACATAGGATCCACGTAAGTACCTCCGTGAACCCAGTCATTGCAATCTAAACAGAAACAAGTGAACAAACAAAATGGTAAGCAAGGAAGTTACATATCCAAAGCATATAGAAAATCAACTGTTACTAAAACGTACCTCTGCTCTGATAAGGTCACTGAACTCATTTAGTGGTAGAGGCTGCAAAGATGCAGGTTTACTTTTTGGGATGTTATTGAACCCATAAGCAATAGCAACATCCTAGAAATGAATAAATTTACAAGATCAATAACAATTTGCAAGGTGAAAAGAAATTATGTATAGACATGTATTCTCAAGATTATCCCTCCTATGTACTATTTTTACCTCCATGACATCACATGCGTGAAGCACATCACTCCTTGTTGGGGGCACTGATATAGTTATACTAGACTTGTCACCAGACATTGACTGCTTAGCGTGTAATTGCATCCTATTTAACAAACTGGTAACCTGGAAGATTGTAAAATATCACAAGCCACATCATATTCATTCCATTGTACCAATATAATACCTACTTATCAATTCCCCCCATTTTGCAAATGCTTAGAATTGGAACTTACAATAACTTCCAATTGATGGCATTCCATAGTTGAAATTAATCCTTGTCTTCTTTGGGTCAAGAACCAAGAAAATTGAATTATTTTGACTACGTTGAACAACCTAACATTATCTTATAAGATATTATAGTCTGCATTAGCAGCAAGCCAAAGTAAAATGCTAAACTCAAGCCTCAAGGAAAACTTCAGCACAAAAAAAAAAAAAAAAAAATAGTGAATGCCAAAGGTCACAATAAATTATTGATTCTTATATAAGTTTCTATTATGATGTAGGAGGATACTGAATATGTGTTAAGGAAACCGTATGGTATGGCTAAAATAAAGTTTAAAAGAAGCATATATGAGCTTATAAAACTACCTCTTCTGCCTCCAATGAGACTCCAATGCAATTAGTGATATAAGACAGAGAAACTTCCATATTGTAGAGAGATAGCTCTGGATAAATACTTGACTTCCCATCAGAATATACCACTTCAACTGGCTCAATTTCAAACTTCTTTTTGCACAGCGCTGAAAATATAGTCACCTAAGAAGATTACAAGAAATTCCAAAAATTAGGGATTACTTTACATCAGCAAATAAACTTTTCCACAACTCAAAAAAATTATTACCATAGTATTCAATACAATATTTGCTTTTGTCAGATCAGTTGCAGTGCATTCAATAAACACATTCTTTGTCTTCAAATTAATAGCCGAATGTGCACCATTGATAATTGGTGGTAAAGACAAAACAGTTCTGCAGCAAGGAGCTCAATATATATCAAAATGTGGTAATATTTTATGTTTAGAGCCGTTCTCAATAATTACAACAAAAAAAAAAAAAAAAAAAAAAAAAAAAAAAAAAAAAAAAAAAAAAAAAAAAAAAAAAAAAAAAAAAANAAAAAAAAAAAAAAAAAATCAGAAAACTAAGAGAAACTACAAATGTTTTCAATAAGCTAATGAAAACTATAAAATGCACATGTTTTCTGATATTAACAAGTAAACCAGCCAATCAAGTTCTATAAGATCCCAACAATTTCAAACATAAGAAAGGGTGGTGGGAGTATACCTGTTGCGATCAAACAAAACGGGAAATATAGGTGATTTTTCTATTATGTGCAAGAACTTCTTCAGCTTCAAATCTGACTGTAAATGAGCATGGAGAAACATGGATCAAAATATCTCGACATCGATTTCAGAAAAAGGGAAACTAAAAAACACCATAACAACATACATCTAGGACTTAATACCAGACAGAAAATAGATATATTCTTATTACGGCACTTACTTTATAGAACTCCATCAGCTCATCAGCTCTGAAACTCTTCGTCTGCATCACATAAAAAAATAAAAAAAGTTAGTTCCAAACCACATTAAAAGACAGACGACAATCTTAACTGGGTCCAATGGTTGAGTCAGTATATCTCATTCTCATAAAACCCATAATGAAATGTTTCATGGAGAGATCTACTAACAAAGAAATTTATATTTCAAAAGTTTGCTAGAAGAAGAAATCATGGAGTTGTTTCCCTCACTAAAAAATCAGCAAATACTGGATGTTTATGAAAGAATCAAATTTAGGAACAGACAACTGAAAATCAATTCCCACAAATATCTAAGTGAAATCAACTAAGGTTATTTCAGAACAACATATCAACACGCAGCAAGTACATATTTGATTCCTTTAAGTCATGGAAATAAGACCTTTCAAAAAGGAAAAAATGAAATCTGAAATACTCATTTTGCTGAATCTCATCAACCGATAAAAAGAGGGAACAACTTGTCCTAGGTGCATTATATATTTTACCTGTTTCAGTGGCACAAAGTTTATAGCTGTTGGTGGCAAAGCCTGAAACAAATGAGGGAAAAGTGAGAATGTCAACGTTAGGACACTGTATTCACTGGAACAAATGAGTATCGACCAAAAGCTAACAAAAGCGAGAGAGAGAGAGAGAGTTAACCACAACTAACACTTCAATCATCAGAGAGCAGAATCTATAGTATTGCACTACAGCAGAATAATTTTCCAGAGATGTTACAGAAACTGAGGATGAATACACAGAAAATGCAATCTAATGCTACACAGCACATTCTACTGGACCTACTAATAGAAACAGAATATTTATTGTCCCAAGACTATGATTACAAGGAAATCCCACCTCATAGGTGAAAGGGCCTTCAAGCGTATCCAGATCATGAGTTCCAATGGCAACAAGGGTTCTCCGTCTAAAAAAATCAAACAAAACTCTTAATACAATACTTCCAGCACAAATGAAAATAAAACAAGAAAAAGAGGAAGAATTAGAAAGTAAAACATACAAATCAGACGTAGCAAAAATATTATAACAAAAGAATTGCTCATGCATCAAAAAATAACTATGTCTTGATCTCAAAATTACGTCATTGCTACATACTTGGACTCCATGTCCTATATCCTATTGGAATTGCTAAAACAAAACAATACAACTTGTAAGTTTCGACTCAGTAGCTTTACAACTTGTGCGGCTGGATGGAAATCAGAACAATGCACAAAATAGGAGAAGATCACAATGAATATGATACCAATAAACTAACTACAATCCAAACTTACCGACATATGTTCTGATGAAGTTTGTCTTGCAGATCAATAAAACTATTATAACTTGCTTCATCAAAAGTTATGTCTCTCAAAACAGCACAAACCACGTAAGGACGAATCGAGGAAGTCTGAGAAGTTGAAAGTTCCAGATAAATAGAAACAAGTTGACATCATCTATAATAATATAAATTACATATTCAAATGGAAACTATACCTCAGGTTTTACATGCATTTTGTGCATAGATTCCTTGGTTATATTGGTTAATTTATAGCAGGGTGTCGCCTCCTGCTTATTAAAAATGCGCAGTGCTTGAGCAAGCCCTTCAAGACAGAGCAAATCGTATCTACAAAACCATAAAGTAGATTTACAAGTTATATCTCAGATGCCTACAACTACAACGTTCAAATAGTTTTATAATCTCCAAGGAAATTTACAACGGTCTTCTACCTTTTGCAAAAAAAAAAATCCAAGAACTCAAAATGAGGCCAATGCAGGCACATTTACAAATAGATAAAAATTGTTCTTTTAGAAGAAAAATAAACATCTTGGATGCGTTACAATCTGTGCCTAACCTAGCAGAAATCTCGAGGACTTGTCCGGACACGCACGCACACAGAGAAGAAGGGGAAACAAACGCTCCATCCCCGTATTGAATCCTAATTGCAATTTAGAGAAAATTACAAAGAACTGTACCTGTTTGCGGGGACTTCAATCTTGTAGATGACTTCTTCATCTTCATCAGCTTCTTCTTCCAAATGCTTCTCTTTCCTAATAATCGCCTTCTCTGTCGTCTACAGTCAACAAGCCAAAGTAAAAAAGAAAATTCGCATCCAAATCATGAACGTAATCGAGAAAACAACGAATACTTACAACATCATCAAGCTCAATTCCAAACCTAAAGCACAGCTCTTCGAACTCTTCCTGCGCTAAGAAATGAAAATGAAACAAAATTAAATGAAATTAACAGGAAGCAATTACATAATTGAACAACGTAACATATCATTGAAAACTTCAAGCTCACAATAAGTTCTTCCGAGGGCAGCAAATAGACGATCTCTCCCGACGCTTACGGTCGGCATGGTCGACTCTTCTTCTGAAGGAACAAAGACTACACGAGAAGACAACAAAAACACTAGAGCAGCGCGGAATCGCCTGCGGAGCCCTTTAGAGCAGTCTGCTCCCACGCCAGACGCGACGCTTAGCCAATTGGGCTAATGGGCTTATTCTTTGTTTATGGGCTCATAAGAAACAGCCCATTCAGAAAACTTTTTTTTCCCACGTGGAAAATTGGTAAATTATGGAATATATACGAATATATTTATCGTAATTTTCAAAATTATTCACATTGAAAAAGATTCTTAAAAAAAGATATTTGACTTTAAAAATCTATTGCTCTATTTGATACGCAATCTAAAATTAAATTTATAAATTAATTTTTAGTTCAAGTTGAATATAAATTATTTTTAATTAATTTGTGAACATATTTATATATATACATTTTTTTTTGTTATAAATTTTATATAGTTAATATTTTACAATATTATATAATTTATAATATAATATATTTATTATATTTCTTAAAATTTTTATTTTTTAATATTATCGAAAAACTTTATGTGTGCGTGGGATCGTTATAATCCTGGATTACTCTTACAATCATTAGTTACTTATCATGAATGACTTTTTATGTATTCTTTTCATTTTGGGTAGTTTCAATTGCATGAGCGGCAAGAAAAAGTAGGTTGTGACCTACACACGTAAGACATACAAAGGGCAACTCAAGTGTTGCCCATCTAGTCTTGTTTAGGCCAAAATTGAGAAGTTTCATGATGCAACCAAGAAGGATGGTGCATCATTCAACACACCAAGAGTGCATCGAAGCTAAGTTGAGGCTTATGCAAAGTTCGAGAGAACGAGGCAACAATGTCGAAGCTCAAGGAAGGACAGGTAGGGGCTTGAGTCATAACCTTAGAAGTCGGAGTTTCGATATGAGTTTCAGAGTGCGGCTTGGGAATTAAGTTCGTCGATATGGAAGATGAAAGCTCACCAAATTTGGTGTCAAATGGATACTCGACGGACTATGCACGAGGGCATATGTATGCTCGCCAAAATGACGTCTATCGAGAAGAGGAAGCAAGGTTTGGAACACCCTAACCTAGACCAGGATTCGTCTTTCTCCCTATGCCTAGAAGCAAGTCAAGCGGTAAGAAAACTCATATCCCTTGAGTGCGTGTTTTTTTTATGATCTCGTTTTCTCAGATAGGGCAGGTCAGGGGCAGGTGTCTTCGATATGCGATATCTGAGACTCTTTCTTTTTTAAGTGGATATGAGATATCTGGAATGTGATGCCAGATGTGCTTTCTGACATGGTGTTGGCTCTCCACCACCCATACGCTTTGTGGCCTAAGCGAGCTAATTTGTGGCACATGCGTGTGTCACAGCATGGGCAAGCGTCACAAGATGAACATCTCAGGTGTCTTCCTTTGAAAAAGGTTTTCCAAGGACAATACCAGACAACAAGGGTGTGTGAATATTGCGCCCCAACTCATGTGTCGAAGGTTGGATTATGCACTTGCTATCTGAAGTGTATGTCATAAATGGTTTAGCTTGGACATGGGAGAATCCAATGCTCGAGAGAACCCAGATGGATGGATGTTTGGGATGTCTCGACGAGATGATTGATACATAGGTCAATTCCCAACCGATGTGTCTTATGAACTAAAATTTTATTTTTAACTCAATTAATAAATTTGAAGTATTTAATAAAGATTATTTGAGATAGAAAAGATTAAATGGCTCGACTTAACCATCCCACCCACCCCTAATTCGTATAGCTTGGGCCAGCCCAACAAAATTAAGTATCATTAGTACTCATACCTAAATTGGGCCCAACAGGCCCAGTCCATGTTTACCCAAAGAAACTCAGATTGGGCCCAGAGCCCGATAATGGTATTGTTGTAATTCCAGAGAACGTGATTGTGGATTAAGGCGCGTTCAGAATTTCGAGCTGCTCGCTCTCACCACTTCACCTTCGCTCTATCCAGTTTCCGAGCGCACAGGCACACCCAACACTTCCAGTCGTCAGTTCCGGCCATGGCTTTCGTCTCCACCTTCATCTCCGGCGAACTGTCGCTCCTCACAGTGAGAGCTTCCGCCACATCCTCCTCCGTCAAGCATCCCTATCAATTCCCTCCGTCTAATTTGCACTTCGCCCGCACCGTTACCTTCGCTTCAACCTCCAACCAGGCCACTGCCTCCCAACGCCAGCCCCGAGGTATCATGAAGCCCAAGCGTATTTCGCCGGAGATGCAGGCGCTTGTCGGTGTTCCCGAGATTTCCCGTACCCAAGCCCTTAAGGTCATTTGGGCTCACATTAAAGAGCATAATCTTCAGGTAGAATTTCTCTTCCTCTGTAGTTTTTCATTTTTCCTTGTCTCTTTATTTCCATGTTTGTTTTCCTTTCACCTCGTCTTCGCCTTTCAGTGACACTAGTTAATTAGAGAAAAGGTTTTTCGGTGACCACTTTTAGGGGTTTTTGCTCTGTTCTGAGGATATTGTATGATGTATCGGCTTGCGTGACGAAAGAGTCTTGTTCTGAAATGACGTCTGAAGCCCTCATTTCCGAACAAGATCTTGGATGGTTTGTTTAGAGTTTTCTTACTGTGTTCTGTTTAAAATTTACTTCGATAATCATTAGATTAATTTCTACGACTCTTAATTCTTCATTTGACGATAGATTAGGGGAGTTTTGCTCCTAGTTATGATGTATTAGCATATGAAAATGTCTTGTTGTCTTTTAAATTTTCATCGAGTGTTCTTGTTGGGCTGCGCTATAATGACCATTGGATGAATTTCTACCACTATTAGTGCATTGTTTTGAAGATGTTTTGGTATTTGGGTAGTAATTCTATAAGATTTGATATCCTTGTTGTTGAGAGTTCTTTTATGAGGGGTTTCAAGATGATTTTGCTGCTTCGGAGTTTCATGGTTAACTTTTTTCTGATTTGTGCATTTGTTTTCAAAGACAGAGAACAGATTTAGAAAAACTTCTGTTCATTCTCTGGTTTTCAATTATCTATAAAGTTCATAATGATATAAGTATTTTTCTTGAAGCAGTTGTTTGGGGTTTCCTCAGCGTGCTTTTCAGCCCTGGCTTTTGTAACTTTAGTTGGCTAAGGATTATGGATTATGGAAATTTTTATATTTTCGTTTAGTCACCGAATAATGGTATTCGCTCATCGGAGGGTTTTTGCTTGCGTTCTAGGGCGGTTCTGAAAAGTTGCTTTCTCCTTCCAATATCTCAATGTTCCCCTAGGAAACAATGGGACCTGGATTTCGAAAAGAAAGAACCTAAAACGGGAACCCTTGTTTGGAAACTCTAAACTGAGTCGCGGTCTAACATTTTTTCGTGCATGTTGGCGATATATACTTTAGTTCCTTGAGTTCTCTTACATTACTCCACTAAATTTGTCCTTAAATGCTGCCTAATATTTCACAAAGAAACAGAAAATTTGTATGATAGTTGCCTTCTCAGAAATTAGGGGTTCAAAGCACAGAAACCCAAAGTCGAGTCAATTTGTTTTGTTTCTGATTATATTCTTCATTCTTTTCAATATTTGTTTTGTTTTTTTATTGTATTCATCTTTGTTTTAGAAACCGAGCGACAAAAAAGTCATAATCTGTGACGAGAAGCTGAAGAACATATTCGGAGGGAAAGATGAAGTTGGGTTTCTGGAGATTGCAGGATTGATAAGTCCACACTTTCTAAAATGATTGGAAGTACGGAACATAGGGATCTGGGGACCTTCAGTTGAGTGCCTTGAAGATGAACTTTGTGTGTTGTTTTGTTGTGGAAGTCTCCAAATCCGGTTGATACGGATGCTTTTAGGTATTATTCCTCACTGAATCCTGGCGTTCAGAGCCCTTTTGTGTGTAGTAGTTGGATATAGAGGAAGCTTTTGTAAGAACTTTGGTTGGAGATTTGTGTAGGGATTATTATTTCAAATCTTTGTTGCTCATTAGTTTGGGAAATCTCTCACTTTACTACATGCTTGCCATTTTGCACTTGGGTTTGCACTTAGCTTCGCCCTATGCTATTCTAAATCATTGGCGGTATGATGAAACCGTAACTTTTAGTTTCTTTTGGGTCTCGAAAATACCTTCACGGTTAGTTTTGGATGGAAATCATTAGTATCATGTCATAAATACCCTTGAAAGTTCAAGAGTATTTTAACATCCAAGCGAAAAAAAATCTAACTTAGAAAAAAAAAATCACATAAACAAGTAAAGTATATTCTTTTTTCATGAAATTATATGTTAATTGAAAAGGGAAAAAGGAAAAAAAAAACAAATAATTTCATCTTCAAAGGGGAGATCAAAACTTCACATAAACCCCCACTGCTTAATTCTAAACCCCGCCAAACTCTGCAGTGGCTAAGAATGGCGGATAAGGTTGTTCTTCTCCTCCTCCTCCCCAATCCACCGCCCTCCAAACCCCTCATCCACGTCTTCCACCACCAGCCCCCTTCGCCCTCTTCCCCTTATACAACACTATCCTTTCCTCCGCCGCAGCCGCAGCCGCTCTCTTCCCCATCATCCCCCATAGCCCCTCTTCTCCAAGGCATCCTTCATCCCCACCAAGACCCCTCTTCCCCTCAAACCCATAACCCCCAATCCATTTTCAGAGCACACACCCGGAAAGGCCGATCCCGCGGGAAGCCATGGTCGCACCACCGTCTCTCTACCAAGGGTAAACAAATTCTCGATTCTTTACTCAACCCAGAATTAGATTCCTCCTCTTTAAACAAATTCTTGAAACCAGTCCCGAAGAGCTTAATTTCACCCCTGAATCTGTTTCATTCGACATTTTGGGGATAATCAAGGGCTTAGTGTTTCGCAATAAGAATGAAGTAGCCTTGCGTGTTTTTGAATTTTGTCGTAATCGGAAGGAATTTGCATCGATTTTGAATCGCTCTGTCATTGCTGTGATTATTAGTGTTCTTGGTAAACAGGGTCGGGCTTCTTTTGCAGCTTCTTTGCTTCATGAGCTTCGAAATAATGGAGTAAATATTGACATTTATGCTTATACTTCTTTGATAACTACTTATGCTAGCAATGGTAGATATAGAGAGGCTGTGATGTTGTTT